ATGAATGTCAGAGACAGAGAATGAACCAACTTAAGCTTGGCCTGCTCTCCAGCTTATTACATTCTATTCCCCATGCCAACTTGTGAACTGAGCTGTGAAGACAATTTGTCTCCACCCTGGTGTGGTTTTGTTTAGGGTCCCTCTTCTCCAGCCTGGGTTTTGCAGAAGGCAAATAGCCCCAGAGAGATCTATGCTTTACCCAAAGTCACCCAGGCAAGCTCTGGGCAGTGCGAAACTTAAACTATGTCCCCATTTCTAATCCATCTATCCTCTCTATAGAGTTTCTCCCAACCAATTAGGAACCCCTGGAAAAGCCAAAAACATGATGGGAACCTCATTCATCTCAAGCCAAACACATCTGTTTCCCTTCTTCCCTGCTAAGCAGTAAACAGCAGAGACAGAGCCTGGGTTGGCTACAGGCGAGGCTCCCAGCTCAGAGATGAGCCCACATCCCAGAGCAGACAGGGGCCCTTCTCATGTTGATCCCTGGGCTCTAAGAAAGAGATTTTCCCTAATGCAGCTGAGATTGGTGATCTGACATCTCTAGAAATTGCCCTTTTCCAAAGTGATAATGCACCCTGCCCCGGAGGAGACCCGGCAGGGTGTTTGCAGCCGCCCGGAGGCCTGTTGTCTCCCACTTCCCGTCTCTATTAATGTTAGCAGACGAACTCACCGCATATTTTGCTGTAAATGAAAACCAAGCAAACTCATTTTCTCCTCTCCATCAGACCAGATGGTTCCTTCTTGATCTTTTCCCCCTCACTTGGGCTAGAAATTATTTTTCTTAAAAAAAAAAAATTTTTTTTTGAAAAACTAAAACTTTCCTAACATCTGCAAGGCTGCCTTTTTGAGATCATTTTTTAGACAAACATACCCCAAAATGGGTCCTGGGATTGTGTTACAATGGCATTTCCTCTCTCAAAAGCAGCTTCGCCTTTAATTCAATCTTTTCCTTCTAAGGAGGGAGCAGGAGGCCAGGGGATAAGGAAAAAAAAGCACCATTGGCCTGTCTGTCCATGACAGGAGATAATGCAGGACTCCCAAGATGCGGCAGGCTTGAAGGATCTTCCTCTTGTCCCCTCCTCCCCAACCAGAGGTGACTTAACAGGCGTGTTGGGAAAAGATTCCAACGACAACTCAAACATGCGAACTCCTGTTCCCAGGGAGGCCCTGCCCACCGCACCCAATACCCCAGCCCTCCTGTCCTCAGCTACACCCTTTTCCCAGCCACCTGCCCTGCTGTCAGCTCATTTCACATAGAAGCAAAGAGAAGCACCAAAGGCAGCCAGCCAGTTCAGGATGGCACCAATCAGAGAGTGATGGCACTGGATTCCAATGTCCCCCAAGCCACGCCAAGAGTGAGGAAGGGGTCCCAAGCACCTGACACCAGGGAGATGCTTGAGATGAGGTCAGCCCAAGAAACAAACATGCAAAGAGATTTATGGTGGGCATGGCTGAGGGTGAGGCCAGAAAGGGCAGTCAGTCATACACTGGTGACTGGACAGCACCTGAAGCATCCACAGCCCCCGGTCTACAGTGAGAGCAGTGGAATAAAGAGGAGCCAGGCCCCAGTGGCTCACACCTGTGATCCTAACAACTCAGGAGGCAGAGATCTGACGATCACGGATAAAAAGGCTCTAACACTCCATCTGGATAATAACCAGCAAAAAAGCCCAGTTGAAAGTGTGGTTCAAGTGGCTAAGCAAGCTTGAGGCCTTAAGTTCAAAACTCAGTGGAAGGAAGGAAGGAAAGAAGGAAGGGAGGAAGGAAGGGAGGGAGGGAAGGAGGGAGAGAAGGAGGGAGGAGGGAGGGAAGAGAGGAGGGAGGGAGGGAGGGAGGGAGGGAGGGAAGGAAGGAAGGAAGGAAGGAGGGGAGGGATAGAAGCAGCAGCAACCACTTCTGCCTCCAACAGATTAACCCATCTGGCTTTTCCTATCCCTTCCTACCAACCTTTAAAAACTCTGCATCTCAGATTCTACTCTGAGAAATGGGGATATAAAACCCTGCATCCCTAGCCATCCATGAAGAGCACTGTATGAACAGGCCCATGGTCACAGGAAAGCTGTTGTGCAGAGTAGAGAGAGGAGAGGTCACCCATGTCCCATACCAGGTTAGGAACTTGACCCTGTCTTTGCTGCTCCTTCTTTTCTGAGGAGGAGAGAGTCTTGGATGGGATGAAGAACCTGCCACAGGTCAGGCAGCTGGTGAGAGACAGAGCTGGGTTTGAACTCTATGTGTACGAACCAAAGCTAGAACTTGCCTCACTTGCTCAAGGCCCTTGGTTTGAGCTGCCCTTGAAACTTTTTTCCATAAGAAGCTGAATGTGAATCCTTCTCTGTGGTCACCAGCAGACATGCATAAACACACTCTCTCTCACTCACACACACACACACACACACACACCACATACCACACACCACACACACACACACACAAAACAAACTTTATTTCACTACATTATTATCATTGTAATTATTTTGCCAAACAGATTCTGCCAGTGAGGTCTTCCCCACCCCCGGCCTCCCTCCCCTCCGCCATCTCAAACAGGTTTGAATAGATTTTTTTATGAGTGCTTGGGCTACTTAGAAACAAAAAAATTGCCCGTTATTTAAATTCAATTACATAGCAACCACTGTTTAAAAAGAATATTTTTATTTGAGCTCATTGTGTAGCAAATCATCAGACACATTCTTTCTTCAAACTACTTTGAGAACGAAAAAATTATCAAATGAAAGGGAGGAAATGTTATGCATATCATCCCAGCTATTGAAAAACCAAGCCGACATGAAGTGTCCTCTGTCCCCTTCATTGATTTAAACAACACCCCCACTTGGAGCCAAACCCCTGCCTGGGCTTGGAGAGTATTTTTCTCTGGGGATCTGAGCCTTTAGGGACTCTGAGTGGAGGCCCAGGGACTCTGGAGTTAAAAGCAGAACTCTAGACCCCATCAGCACCCCCCTCTCTATTGACACGGAAGAGAGATCATAAGCTCAGAGGGCACGGGATCTGATCCCAGGCTCTGGGACTCAGGACTCCGAAGCCAGTGCTCCCTGTCACATCTGCTGAGAAATGGCACAGGACAGTCATCTGCAAGGAGTTGGTGCTATAGTCATCACGTCCCCTGGTCCTACCAGGGCTCCCAGGATGCCATAGGTCTCTAGAAACAGAACAGGAAACAGGCAAAAAGCCTTTGTGTTCCAGCAGTGCCTGGGGACCTCCACCTGGCTGTGCCCTGTCCTCTTGCAACACAGGTAGGGTAGGGGTGCCTCACAGATTACTGTTTGCCTTGGCTCCACAGCTTGCTTTCCCAGCAAAGAAGATTCTAGAGAGCCCGGCACTGGTGGCTCATGCCTGTAATCCTCGTTCCTCGGGAGGCTGAGACCTGCAGTTTGAAGCCAGCCCAGGCAGAAAAGTTGGTGAGACTTCTGTTCTCTAATAAACCAGAATAACATTTTAAAAAAAACCTGGATGTGAAGCTGTGGCTCAAATGATAGTGTTAGCCTTAAGTAAAAAGCTGAGGGACAATGCCCAGGCCCTGAGTTATAGCTCCAGGAAAGGTGCACATGCATGTGTACACACACACACACACACACACACAGATTCCAGAAAATAGAACACAACAATCCACTGGAGAGGAGTAGAAACAGCCCTCAATCCTCAAGCTCTACTTGACAATGCTCCCCACAGAGGCTCAAAATTTCTTCCAGGACCCCTTGTAGCTCCAACCCCTGGATCTTAAGAGGCCAGGCAGAAGATAGGAAGAGACAGGAGAATGCCAAGCCATGAGAGACAGAAGACCCTGACTCCACATCTCAGTCCACAGCTGTTCATGCAGTAGAAAGCTGGGCACCTGCAATAAACAGGTGGACAGGGAGTGGGCACTCATTATAAGTAGCAGACAGGTCCACCCAGGACCCCTCACTCCCTCATCCACCACTGTCTCTTGATTAGAGGTAGGATAGAAGTATCTGGAAGCTGATACCTTTGGGGAAACTTTAGCCAGTGAGACAGAAGTTGGTGACTACAACCCAAGCTCTGCCCCTGCTGTCAGAATGGCAGGGATGGGCCAGGAACAGTGGCCAGAATTGTCCCCAGGGGGGTTGAGCACCAGCTGTTCACAGCAGACAACGCATCTCTTTCCCACAGGTAAACTAACTGCACTCAAATCCCAGCTCTGTCTGGGTCTGCTGTTGAAATGCAGAAGTAAGAGGAGGCAGTGTAGAGTTAATACTGAAGTAGTGAGACACTCTAGGTACAAAATGGCATGTGGAATGTGAAATAATTAGAAAAAAAAACAAAACAACAACAATAAATCCTCCTGGTCCCTGGTGCTGGTGGCTTGCACCTGCAAACCTAGCTACTCAGGAGGCTGAGATCTGGGGATCACGGTTCAAAGCCAGCCTGGGCAGGAAAGTCCATGAGACTCTTATTTCCAATAAACTACCAAAAAAAGCCAGCAGTAGAGCTAGAGCTCAAGAAGTAGAATGCTAACTTTAAGCAAAAAAGCTCAGGGACAGTGCCCAGAGTTCAAGCCCCAAGATTGGCACTCAAGACAAACAAAAAACAAAACACCTTCCCTGTCAACAAGGTAAGTCATCTATGGATGCATCAACAGAGGTCATCAGCCAAGGCTGCCTGGGCTTTGAACCCATTGACTGTATAGACAAGCTACTTGACTCCCTGCCTTCCCCCACCCCCACCCCCATGGCAGGCTGTCCCATCTGCTGGCTTAGATCTGAGCCCTCCGGTGAGCCTAATGCATGGGCTCTAGAGCTGCAGAGACACCCAGCCCTGACCCTGGGGAAACAGAACCTAGATTTTTGCAGGTTGAAGGCAAACCCAGCCCAAATACCAAACAAGGTCAATTCATCGGGACTCCAGAGAAAACACTCATCAAGCACCTCAGAAAAACTTGGAAGAATATAAATGGTACCTCTCATTTCATCCTTTCCAACACCTGTGTCTCGAAAACAGTGCAATAAATGGGTTGTAATGCTTACATGTATCTGTTTCCTGTACTCAGCCTGGACAGCCAGTGCCTTCCAAGCCTGGGGAGAGAGCAGGAGGATGGGTGACAAAACCTGGCAAATGTTCGGCTGCCCACAAAGAGCACTTGGCTGCACATATCCCTGTCTTCCAGCACTCTGAACCAGGCCACAAGGGGTTTACTGAAAAGAAGACTAAAGCATCTGGGGTGGAAGGGGTGGGGGAAGAGTTGTAGAATTGATGAATTGGACAAACGACTCACCCTGTTTCTTGTTTAAATTGGTTTCTTTGGATACAAAACAGGGGGCAAACATAAACTGGGCATCAGTTGTAAATGCCTACTATAATCCTAGCTACTCAGGAGGCTGAGATCTGAAGACTGAGCTTCAGAGCTAGCCCAGGCAAAAAAGTCTGTGAGACTCTTACCTCCAATTAAACAACAACAAGAAAAAAAGCCAGAAGTGGAGCTATGACTCAAGTGGTAGAGCAAGAGACCTTGATCAAAAAAGCCAAGTGGAAGCAGGGCACTGGTGGCTCACGCCTGTAATCCTAGCTACTCAGGAGGCTGAGATCTGAGGATGGAGGTTCAAAGCCAGCCCGGGCAGGAAAGTCTGTGAGACTATCTCCAATAAACCATTCAGAAAAACGGAAGTGGCACTGTGGCTCAGGTGGCAGAACAGTAGCCTTGCACTGAAGAGCTCAGGGACAGCGCCCAGGCCCAGAGTTCAAGCCCCACGACCGACCAAAAATTGAAAAGCCAAGTGAGGCTGGAGGGGAGGGGAGGAGAAGAGAGGAAAGGGAGAGGAGAGGGGGCAGAGAGGGAAGGCAGGGAGGGAGAGAGGGGAGGGAGAGAGGGGAAGGAGAGAGGGAAAGGAAGAGGGAAAGGAAAAGGAGAGAGGGAAGGGAAGGAGGAAGAGAGGGAGGGAGAGAAGGAGGGAGGGAAGAAGGAAGGAAGGAAGGAAGGAAGGAAGGCAAAAATGAAAGAAAACAGGGTAAACATGATCCATCTGGTTGTTTTTGCTTTGAGACAGTCTTGCTAGGTAGCCCAGGCTGGCCTGAAACCTCTAATCTTCCTGCCCCAGCCTTCCAAGTGCAGGAATAATGTGTGCTCCACTGGACCTGGCTCTAACCCACTGTTATAGCTTGAATTGTACACACACCCCCCCAAAAAAGATAGAGTCCAACCCTGGGAGCGGTGAAGATGATCTCTCTGAGACATGGTTCTCTACAGATCAACCAAGGTAGGATGAGCTTGTGAGAGCCGCAAATAGCTCCAATGACTGGTGTCCTATAAGGAGAGACAGACGCATGACAAGAAAGCCACAGGATGGCACTGTGAGTGCCAGCCAAGACCTCTCAATGTGTCCCCCTGGCATCTGGCTGACAGACACCATGGGAGATCTCAGTGTTCAGTGCCCCAGGGACAAGTATCTGCTCTGCCTAGGCAGAGAATGCAGATATAGGGAGGCTACTTGTCCCAATCACAGACACCCCCCCCATTGTTATGTCCAGCCCACTCAGCCATTCCTCATGGAGCCCAGAGGAGGCATCGCTTTTCTGGCTGGAGATACACCTTCCCCCTCACCCTAGTGGGGCAGCTAAAACTAAAGCCCCAGTGAGCGTTGAGCACTGAAGGAGCCCTAAATGTCAGGCGGCAGGTGGTCGCGGGCTGCTCTGGGAGGCTGTGCACACTTGGCCAGCCAGAGCAGGCTGCAATCTGTCCCAGCAGGAGAGACAGCAACGCGGGGGCAGGGTGGGTGGCAGGAAGCCTCTCTCTGCAGCATCCCCAGCCTGAGACCAAAGTAGTAGTGGTATTTGCTTCACAACCGTTCTCCCATTTCGAAGGGAAGCTGTGGTACTTCCCCAAGCAGAGCCAGCCTGCCTGAGGCCACCAGGGATGGGAGCCAGCGTCCAGCCTCTGCCAGGGGGCTGTCACTCAATAGGACAGCTTCTTCCTTCTTGAAGGCTTTCCATGCTCAGGCAGATTCAGGGAGCTAGGCAAGTGCTAAGGAGAGGAATTTAAGATTAGAACCTGGGTGTCGCCATCTATGCGCTACACCCCTCCCATAAAAAAGAAAAGAAAGAGCTGGAAAGAATTAAGAGGGCACAGCAGTTCCCATGGCTATGAATATCTGAAATGCCACCTTCCCTCTTCACACCCCTGATCTTCTCTCCGAACTTCCAGAGTGTTCCTTTATCCACGCCTCCCACCAATCACACCCATGAACCCCAAAATGGCCACACTATGAGGGGATGGAGGAGACAGGAGCCAAAGATGGTGCTGGAAGAACCTGGAAGACATTCTGGAAAGTTGTCAGAGCACCAAGTTTCAGGATGCCTAAGGAGGTCATGGGGTACTGGACTGGAGGTCGAGGGCCTAGCTTAGCACCTTTGCTGTGGGGCCCCTGTCTAGCCCCTTGGACAGACCCAGCCTCCATTCACACATGCCCCCATCTGCCAGGAAGTAATCTTCACACACCCACTGTCTGTAATCTACAAAGAGCAACATCCCCTAGGGAAAGAGGCCAAAGTGTCTTGGGAGCTGGTGACACAACCAGATTCTCTCAGAAGCCGTGACTGCATTTCAATGTCCTCAAAGCACTCAACTAGGTAAACATAAGGTAGAGTTGACCCTATGTTGTGGCTGGTCTGGGACCAGCTAACAGACCTACCCAATATCCTAGAGTTGACACACGATGTGTGCCACCTCCAGGTAGAGGCAGGGGGTGTTGATATGGCTCTGCCAGCATCCTGTTTCCCTCCTGCTGTAACATCTACGCCACAAAGATGGCAGAGGTGCCAGCAGCCTGAGTCCCTGCGCACCAGGGCGGAGGACAGGAACGTGAATGTGAGAATGGAACCCACTTGTTACATCACTAAGGATTTGGGGTCATGTGCTATGGCAGCTAGGTGCCACTCGGCTTCCTGTATCACTGATGGAAAGATTCTCATGTTCAAAGACAAGCAGTCTCAGACCACACAGCAGTGAATGGCAGGAACAAATACAGATCTGGAACCACAAGCCTGCCCCTGCCACAACCACCTCTTGTTGCTTGGTAGGAACACAGGATGGCTCCCCTCCTGTACACAGCCATGTTCCCAAACCTCTCGTCCTTCCCTGTCCCCAGGAAGGCTGAATGATCTATGCCAGAGAAGAGGGAATGGCTGAAGGTACTTAATGATGCTGGCAGAAGACCAGAAGTAGGGAGAAGGGGCCTGACCAAGTCTCCGGGCGCTTTCCTGAGATTTGGGGGCTTTGTAGAACTTTGACAGAAGAGGAAACAGGGCAGGATGGAGAACCAGGTCAATTCTAGATCAAACTTCAGTCCCACACCTAACGCTCTGGTTTTCTAAGCCTACTCTCTGATCCATAAAGTGGAGGCATTATCTGAACCCTCCAGGCAGCTGTTCCAAAATGAGTCTCAGAAGCATCATCACTGTGATGGCTCACAGCCACAGCCTTCTAGAGGGAGAGGAGGCAGGGGCTCAGCCTGGCACCCCCCCCCCCAGGCAGCTATCAGGGAAGTCAGCCTTAGACTGCAGACCTGGCCTAGGCCATGTCCGAGGACAGAACCCAGAGACGGACGCAGGGCCAGCCAACTAAAACGCAACACAACAGAGGACCATGTATTTATCGGAAAGTATCTTCCAGGAAGATGGCCCCTGACTTGGGTGAATTGGGAGCTGTTTATCTGCTGAAACTTATTATTCTGATGTGTGGTCTTGATACTGCAGTTTGGAAGACAAAGGGCAGAGAAGAAGGGATGGGCAGAGACTTGGCTGATGGGATACCATCCTGCTTGCCAGGGACCAGGATGTTCTTGGTGATATCAAACTAGGCTTCCTGCCACAGGAATGGGGCTGCTAGGAGGCAGGGCAAGGAAGAAAAGACCCTCAAGGGCAACATATTCACCTTTGCCATTTACCCCTAAAAAGGAAGATGCTTGTTCTCCCTCCCTCCACGCACGCACGCGCGCGCGCGCACACACCACACGCACACGCACACACACACACACACACACACACACACACACACACACTACCATGGCCCAGAACACTGGAAAGAATCAAAGTTGACTCCTCCAATATGACTGCATTCTTTTACAATAGCACTAGCAAGGGTAATAATGGCAGTGACAAATAACAGTGAACATTTACTAAGCACTTCCTATGTGCTGGGTACCGTGCTGTGTTTCACAAGGGTCAATTTCACTGACAGCTCACAGCAGCTGATAAGAGTCCCATTCTACATACTAAGAAACTGAGGCTCAGACGTAGAGGTCACACAGCTACATCTGTAACAATGAACGGCTAGATGACAAGCTCCTTGACTCCATGCTGTTGCCTGTCCACACATACATACACATTCAATGACTTGGGAACAGGCTCCTGCTCATATCCAAGTTGTTCCATTTACTAATTAACCCAGCTGTCTCAGATACCGACGAGGAGAAAGAGCTGGATGATCAGACAACAAGTGCCCGAATTAAAGCTCTGCTTTGCCACCCACAAACGCAGGGCCTCGTCTCTTTTTTCAAACAAGTTTTTGTTATCTGTCCCACTCTCAGAGAGAGCACCCACGTAGGTCCAAGGTGCCAGCCCGGGTGGCAGGAGGCACCCTGCAGGAGGCAGGCTGGCATGTAATTCAATGGCACCCGGTTGCAGACATGCCTGGTAAGCTGGCATCATCTGCTCCGTGGGACCACAGGGCTGGTTTCCAAGCACCCTCCCTGTGCTGCTTCGGACGAGCTGAGCAGGAACAAATGTTCTTGATTTCCCTACTCAATAGCTCATAAAATAAGCCAGAAGAGCAGCCATTTGGAAAGAGAGGTGGGGGTCCCAAAAATATGTGCAGTCCAGACACAGACATCGGCTCTTCCCACGAACGAAGTGGGCTGGAAAGGCCAGAGGAAGGGGTGAGCTGTTGTTGCTCCCCTACCTGGCCTCCTTCCAGAAGGCCCCACAATCTCTTTCCTCCATGAACCTCCAAACCTGCCCTGGCCTGGAGTGCAGACCTCCAGCCCACCCCTGCCAGAACATTAAAACTATTAAGTAA